TAAACTATAGGAAGATGAAGGTAAGACAACTTAGGAAGCTAACCTCTAGGTCATTTTGACTGCTTGCACTCACGTGTTATCCAAGTCCATATACTGTAACTTTATAATATCTCTACCACCTGGCTCTTTCTTTCCCAGTCACATTACCCAACCCAGGACTCATTACATACTGCTTTCGCTACTATAATACTAGACACGCTAGTTTAGGGGCTACCAGTTTGAAGAGGGAGGAGTAGGGGTTCCCAATCATCCTTTAAATAGTTTTATTACTGATACTGAATAGAGAAGAAAGATAAATAGTACATTATTAAAAATAGAAATTAAGTGGCACAGTTGAAGGGTTGGGTACATCGTGGCAGCAATTAAGAACAAAAATTAAAATGCTTACTTAAAAGTCCTTGATGATTTCTGAATTAATGCACATTTATAGATATGAACCTAATCCTTTAGAATGTTTGATTTTGAATTTGTTTCAAAGAAGCAGGTGCAAGTATATAATTTGTTCACTTTATTTTAATTCACAGACAACATATGGAAATTAATTTTCTGAATGTACCAAAACTCAGATGATAATATCAGCCAATACTAGGATATTTGACTTTTATATTAAAAACCAAAATTATATCTTCACATCTCTGGAATACACACTAATTTCATATTCTTAAATACAATGCTATATTCTTATATACAGGATAAAAAGCTAAAAGCAAATGCTCAAAGCTGAGCATCTTTAATAACTAAGAGAGGTAATGTAATCTAAAATGGGATTTTTATTCCTAGAAAGCATAATTGGATTTAATGAACATCAAAAGCAATTATGTTAACATTTACCATTATTGGTAGGAGTTCTAGAAATAAGAATTGGAGCTATGGCAATTTAAACAATTTACTTTCCTTAAAAAGACAGAGTCTGACTATTACCTACAAATTCACTTCTCTACAAAAATCATGTTGATATTTACCGAACAAAATGAGAGGAAGTCCAAAGCAAATAATAAGGTTACAGATTACCATAAGTGAATGCAAAACTATATAAATGACTTAATAGAACAAAAAATCATATGCTACTGAATAATCAAGAAAATCAGAGTATAACTCTCAATATTTAATATTTTTTACAATTTATAATTATACAGATTTGATTGTCATTTATCTGCATAAGATTTTCTCATTACCATTGATTTACCCTTTTTTGCAAGGCAGGAGACTATAACAGTTCCTTTAGCTAGCTAGTTAGTGCATCACAAATCTGTTACTAAGAGAGAAAAACCTTGAATACAGGAAAAAAAAGTCACTTCTTTCAAGCCTCTTTTCTTCTATTTTATCAGAATAAAAAAGGCCTTATAAAAATCAACCAATGCCGTATAATTTGAATTTATATTCTTTTGAATTGGTAAATAGAGTGAAAACCATACACTTTGCGTTTATTCCATGCCAAATGTAGCCAGACATAATTATAGCAAAGGAACTGATTTTACAGCAATTATAAAAATGTAAATAAGGCTTTAAAACTGACTCAGGAATTATATTTTATAAATGAAGCTTTGATTTTAATTTAAACAATTCTCCTAGGGCATGATATGCATTATTCAAAATGTTCTGCTTTCATTACTATTGAAATAGTACTTATACTTCAGGAAACCAGGGAACAGAAACACCTGTTTCTGATCAAATTACAGCTCCTAATAATTACAATAATTGTATTAGTAGACCAACTTCAAAATGTAAACATCACAATATATTTAAATTATTAGAGGTTTATTTACAAGTTATGAGTGTAAAATGTGAAATAAAATGTAATATAGCCTTACCTATTTTAGCCCAAATATTCTTACTAGTAAAGCATATATTAAGTGTCTACATTAAAAATGCTTTTCATAACATATTATTTTTTTCTTTTGCAAATATAATATTTAATTATTAAAATTTGGAAAACAAACCACAAAAAGTGTAACAGATTAGTAATGACTTGTCATATGTTGATATATTTCCTTCAAATCCCCTACCCATCTGATTGGCTATCTGTTTCTACTGTTACCTATATTAAATTAGGATAATACTAAATATTTTATAACTTGCTTTTTTATTAATATTAAAACTCATGAGTCATTTTAATAGAAAAAAATCAAAGGATTTTTAAATATATGTTCTTTTTAAAAAGAGTCAGGTACATGCCAAGTTGAGTCTTGAAGAGAAATGTCAGTGTGATCTGTGGCAGCTGCTGGCTTCCCTGGGAAGGAAGGGGCTGGTTAGGAGTACAGTAGCTAGCAAACCCCTCAGCGCTCCACAAAGTCACTAGTGGGAAAAGAACAAAGGCCTTTCCAATGCAGCTAACACAGATGTGCCCAAAGGCAAACTGTCAGAAACAGTTAAGATGACAGCTACTCACAGTTCATTATCTCCTTCTCACAGGTCACTGGGTGACAAGCTGGGTCAGCATGCTTTGTTGACTGTCCCAGTCCTTCCCCACCCCCTGTTCAATTTAAATAAGGGTAAAGGACTCCTTTAGATAAACTAACTAAACAGGCACATTCCAGATACTTCAAAATACCAGAATATGGCATTTATTTTACTTTGGACCAAGCTTAGCATTCAATGTACACATAACTTTATCCAAGCAAGGAGAGAAACACATTTCTAAACCTCATTGGTAGAAAGAGCAAAAACGTTTTGTTAAGCTGTGGCTAAAGCAAACAAGAAAATATAATCTACTGTGAGTTAGGAACCTTACAGGGAAGTCCTCATATAGTGAGAGTATTTTTTTCTTCAATGAAAAAATGAATCTTTCCATGCCACAAAAAAGAAAGGATCAACAAGCAGGTGGCTTTTCATAGTGTTTCAAATGTAAATTAAATGAAATGATTGTGTAGAAGGGAGAGTCTTGTTTGGGGTGATTATTTTAGAGAGAGCATGTATGAAAGCATGCATGTACACACATTTTAAGAGGGAAGGAAACAGAATCTTATCTACTGTGATCAATTGTAGGGAAGGACAGAGGAGAACTAGATAAATCTCTGTGACCTAAAGACAAGAAAAAAAGAGGTAGAAAGAATTGCTAGATCCTAAAACATAAACCCAGAAGAATGCTCACTAAGAAAAGGCCCCTGGATACTTTCTTATTAAAATCTCAAATATACTTGCCAGTCAATTCCTATTGGCTAAAAACACAAATCTAAACACAACTTTATTAAAAATTATTTTCTATCTCTACTTGTTTTTAGAACATCTTCATAACTACCACTTATTGAGTGCTTACTACCTTCCTGCAAATTTAAAGATACTTCATTTAATTCTAACAACTCAAATAGATATCACGGTATGTTAGCTGATATTAACCCGTTAACCACCTTTTTGGCAGGGAGGGGGGGTCTCACTTTTCCTTATACTATATGCCTTTCCTCCAACATTCAAGCATTAGATTGTATGGCCTCAGGAAAGAAACAGCAAAAGAATCCAAAAGCCAAATACCCAAGCCATCCAATGCTCTGTACCCTCACAGAAAACCTGTCCAAGCTGGAAAAGAGAGAAATCACAGGGACGTGACTTACCACTGGGGCCAGGCAAACACAGAGATCCCATATAGGGCTGAGGAATCTGACAGTCAATGTAACTGTGTCTTTTTCTTGAGTAGAGCTCAGAATAAGAGCCCAGGATAATGATAAGCCACAAAATACTCTCAAAAAGGGTAGAGAAGAAATGGAGTGAGTTTAGATAGGCCAACAACATCTGTACAATGAGTTCCCCAGCACACCTTGAGTTCCCATTTTAGATGAAAATATCAGACTATTGTGAAGAGACCTTTATTCTAATGGTATAGAAAGGCAGAGAGTGTACACAGGGGCCTGGCCATGTGGCTGTGCAGCCTTGTGGCCCTGCTGTGGAGCATCAGTTTGTTGAGAGCCCTGTGTATGATTGAAAAATAAGTAGCAGGGAAAAGAAGACTTGGAACCTAAATTTTCATACCACTCAGGACACTCCCATGCTCTGATATAGTGAGGTCCTAAATTTATTATTTACTTTGTCTGTATTCTATCTTCCAAATGAGTACAAAGAATTTGAGGTTTAAATAATAAGTTTTAAAGAGATAATAAATTGAACAGTCATCTTTAATACAAGAAAAAAATATTCCCCTCCTGTAATAATTCCAGGCGGGAATATGTAATTTAAGAAGATAAAGTAGCTTTTAGTTGAAGTAAAAAGTCAAGTTTTTTCCTCCTTTTTTCATGCAAGTGACATTCCTATCTGTAGTTAGTATATTTAAGTAGAGGAGTTCCCTTAAACTTTAATGAGTATGATTAAGAATTACTTTATCCGTTAAAAGTAGTTCAGTAAATAGCATTTTCAAACAGTTATTGATTAAAATTGCAGTTTATAAAGTCAGTAATTTACAGATATACAACATCAAATGAAACAAAATAATGATAGTAACAATAAACTTCAGCATCCAATTAAATAAAGAGGAGCAAAGAAATAGTTCATATTTTTCAATCCAGGATCATTTTCAACCAGTTAGCAAAATCACTGATGTTACTTTTATTTTAGTAATAATAGAAAAGGTGTTGATTTGTTAGGCTACCATAGCTTAAGACCGTCTCCTGTGGATTTACCCTTGAATGCAAATGTAATGTTCTCCTCATGGAAAATAAAAGGGATTGCTCACAGTGATGGCCTTCTCAAAGACCACTTGGTATTTTCATAATTGGATATATATGCTCAGGACTGCCTTAGTTTAAATATGTTATTTCAGAGTATTTTAGTAAGATCCCAGGACAGTAACCCATCCTAAGGATACTTATCAACAACAACATACGGTACATCTTCACCAAAATCCACATAAATGTCGCCTCTCTTCATCAAATGTGACCCGAAAACTACTATGCTGGAAAGCCAAAGGGCTTTTGAGATATTTCAATAATCTTCAAGAAATTAATCTTACATGAAACTGAAGGAAAACATCGAATGTCATTGAGCAATAAAGCTCAGCTCTGTCAGTACCTTACCTCTGAGAAGAAGCCTTAGGATGTTTCTCTTCCAGTTTCCTCACTAGTGCCACTGTCAGCTGTCCTGCCTCCTCAAGAGAACCTTCTGGCATTAAATGGGTGTCTGAGGGCTCTGGCAGTTGCTTCAAAACAGAGTTGCTGGCACTCTTTTGCAGAACCTTATAAATGAAATAGGGGAATAATGTAGCTAATCTTCATTGAGTAGAAATATTTAAACTGGATATGCCAAAAATATAACATTGTACTTTTCATGGTCGCTTCAGTCTTCAAATAAAACATAAACCATTTGTACACGGCCAGAACAAAAGAAGGCAGTCGTAATAAAAAGCGAGGCTATCACCATCTATTTAGTAAAATGTTTACATAAATATGTAGATGTTTACATAAATATAAATGTGCACATAGATATTATACGCATGATTCTAAACAATCAATAACGTTAAGGTAAATTCATGCTTGCCTCATGAAAGCAACTTGAACATTTTCTTCTCTTTTCAAAATACAGTTTAGAGATCTGTTTCTGCCTTGCCTTTGGCTCACTACACTGACCTCTTCTGCTAAGTTTCTGCCACATTCCTGATGATCAGTGGTCCAGGCGCCGTGGTGAATGTGATACTCTGTCTGGGTCACATCCACTTGTGCATTTAGCTCCTCTAGGTAAGTCAGAACAAACTGAGGATAAGCCTATAAAAAAGGAAAACATAAACAGTAGTGCCACCCTTGTAAGTGATAGTCAAAGATCTGTCCAACTGAAAAGAGAGAAGGATAAAGTAGTGAAAAGGTCTGGTTAAGAAACCTCACACTTTTTATTATCAATTTCAGATCAAAATCAAACCAAATTACTTTAATATTAAAACTTTGGTTTCTCAGACTCAGTAATATGTACTTAGGGTTCTGGAATGCTTTATCTTTTTTAACATGGATATTTAGGTTATATTTTCTAAGAAAGTTGAAAGTCAGCATTTCTTTTCCTAGAAAAATATAAATCAATCTGAAGATGCTACATACTTAGTATGATTCTAATATATGACATTCTGGGAAGGCAAAATCTAAGAGAATAAAAAATTAGTGGTTGCCAGCGTTGAGGTAGTGGGATAAACAGGTAGAACACAGAAGATTTTTAGGGAAGTTAAATAATTCTGTATGATACTATGATGGTGAAGACATGTCATTATACATTTGTTCAAACACCTAGAATATACAATGCCAAGAGTGAACCCTAATGGAAACTACAGACTTTGGATAAGAACCATGGTCAGTGTAAGTTCACCAATTGTAATAAATGTACTTACTACTCTGATACAGAATATAGATATTGGGGGAAGGTATATATTTGTGGGAACAGGGTATGTATAGGAACTTCTTGTACTTTACACTGAAGTTTTCTGTGAACCTAAAACTTCTCTAAACAGAGAAAATCTATTTTTTAAAAAATGTAAGAGACTCTACCAAGTACAATGACAAAAGAAAAATAGATAAATTGGCTCGGCGCCTGTAGCTCAAGTGGCTTAGGCAGCAGCCACATACACCAGAGCTCATGGGTTGGAATCCAGTCCAGGCCTGCCAAACAACGACAACTACAACCAAAAAATAGCCTGGTGTTGTGGCGAGCACCTGTAGTCCCAGCTACTTGGGAGGCTGAGGCAAGAGAATTGCTTAAGCCCAGGAGTTGGAGGTTGCTATGAGTTGTGATGCCATGGTACTCTACCCAGGGCAATAGCTTGAGGCTCTGTCTCAAAAAAAGAAAAAAAAAGAAAAGAAAAGAAAAATAGAATAATTGTACTACATCAAAATTAAAAATTCTGTGTGTAAACAATGCCATCAAGAAAGTGACAAGACAACCTACAGAATAAGAGAAAATATTTTCAAATCATATGTCCAATAAGGGATGTGTATCCAGAATTTATAAAGAACTTTTATAGTCAATAATGAAAAGACAAATAACCCAATAAAAATGTGAGCAAGGGATCTAATTAGACATTTCTGCAAAGAAGATATACAAATGGCTAACCAAGAACAAGAACAGATGTTCAATAGCACTAGTCCTTAGGAAAACACAAATGAAAACCTCAATGAGACAACACTTTACAACTACTAGGATGACTATAATCAAAAGGACAGGGTAAAAAGAGTTGGCGAGGATGTGGAGAAGCTGGAACCCTCACATATTGATGGTAAGAATATAAAAAGGTACAGTCACTTTGGAGAACAGCTTAGTCATTCCCCAAAATGTTAAACATGGAGTTATCCTGTGACTCAATAATTTCATTTCTAACTCTATACCTATGAGAAAAGAAATCATACAAACTTCTGCATCCATGTTTATAGCACCATTATTCATAATAGTCGAAATAGCGGAAACAGATGAAATGCTCATCAACTGATAAATGCATAAAAAAGGTGATGTTTCCCTATAATGAAATAGTATTTGACAATAAAAAGAAATGAATTTACTACTGCACACTACAACACAACACAGATAAATTCAGAAAACATTATGCTAAGTAGAAGAAATCAATCACAGTAGATCACATAGTATATGATTCCATTTATATGAAATGTCCAGACAAGGCAAATCTATAAAGATAAATAGGGCTGAAGGGGTGCAGAATAGACACAAAAAGGAGATTAGGTGTGAAGTATAAGGTGTCTTTTTGGGAGGACAAAAATCTAAAAATTAGATTGTGGTCTTAGACACACAACCCTGTAAATATACTAAAAAATGCTGAGGGATGTACTTAAAATGGATAAATCGTATGGTATGTGAATTATATTTCAATAAATATATTTTTAATGTTAGGGATTGAATTTACATGTTTTAATGTAATAAATTTTTCAATTTAGAAAATGGAAATATAAAGCATAACTTTAAACCAGAGTAAATAAAAAGATAAGAACCAGATAAGGTAAGGAAGAGGGAAAAGAGATGCAAATTAAAAGCATGGTAAACAGAATTTTTTGTTGAATTAATCAATGAGCATCTCAAATATGTAATTTCTTTCTATTTTATAATATTACTTGTACATATTTTGGAGACACATGTGATATTTTGATACCTGTATATAAGGATTAATGATCAAATTGGGGTAATTGGGATATCTAGCACCTCAAAAATTAAATTAGTGAATTTTTAAATGTACATTCCCTTTGGCTTAATTAATATGCATATCTACAAAGATGCCTACTCCCGTACTGTATATATTTGCCTTAATGTACATCACCATGGAAATTTTAAAAGATAGCATAGAAGTGAATGTCAATTATGACAAAATGACTACAGAACGCTATCAGATGGAAAACATAGGTAACAAAGTAGTATATAGTATGTATAGTCTTCCGTGTATGCATGTTTATCTAATTAATCAGAAATGATACACTATCAATGATAATATCTGAGGAACTTAAAGGTACTTTTGCTTATTATTTACTTAGTTCTAAATTATTGGAGGGTTTTTCCCAAACTAACACATACTACTTTTATCATTTAAATGGAAACCATACTCTACACACAAAGATATGCATGATTTAGGGGAATACATAAAAAACCTTAAAAGTTTTTGTTAGTGAATAACTCTGGGAAATTGGATTAAATTTTTAGAAGAGACTTTACTTTTGATTAATATATTTTTTCTAATATTGATTCTTACCATGTACAAGTATTACTTTTATAAAAATTAATACTTAAAGAAGATCCCATTGGAATAGTGGTTTTACGGCACACATCAGTCAGATAATCTTAAAAAAAAATTTTTTAACCTTTTGTAGAGACAGGGTCTTGATCTGTTGCCCAAGTTGGAGTACAAAGGATTTGTTCTGTAAAATTTGGATTCAGTCAAAAGGCCACACTCAAGGATCCCAAAGGTCACCTGTGGCCTGGAAGCTGGATGTTCCCCACCGTGGTACAGAGTCAACAGCCTAATCTTTCAACTTTTCTTCCCTTTATCTGCATCACCCTAAATTGAAATCTAATATCTAAACCTCTCATTATTTTCCAAGTCCATCAGCTCTTTGGGCTTCATTGCATTCTTCTCATTCTAATCCATTTTTTTTACCATTGGAAGATAAGTTTTAACAACAAAAAAAAATCTTAGATCACATTATTCCCACTTCAAAACCATCAAGTAGTACACTAGTACCTACTGATTAAGATCCTACAGTCCAATTCTGGTTTCAAATTACAACTTGAGTAAGTGCCACCTCTATGATAGAGAAGTTTGTCCAGTAAAGACTGAGTAAGCACATGCTCAGAATTTACCAAATTTGCTCTCAGGATATAATGGCAACTTTCTGGTTGCTAAAGGAAGCCAATCCATTTGAGCTTTTTACACCATAATAGGATGAGGGAATCATCATGGAACATTAGGAAGGCTTCATATTTGACCTAACTTCAGTGCTCATAGGAGTTAGCACAGGAGTGTTTGTCTTCTAGGGAAGTATGTGGTACAGCAGGCGAGTTATCAGAATGCCATTTGGAATTTTAAATTCTAGATATTTTACCTCTCCCTGGTCAATACAATGACCATGCATGACTTTAAGGAGTCTCTTTTTATTTTCCTGATTATAAACACTCGTTATAGAAAACTTAGAAAATATTGTCCATCCTCCTACCATCTATTTCATGTATAAACTTCCAGTTTGTGTATGTGTATGTGTATAAGTATACACACATATATATTTATATATCTATAAATATATAGATACATATATATATACATCTATAGACACACATATCTATATATACACACATGCACACTTGGTACAACATAAATAAATAATTTTTCTTTCTCTTTTTCTTTTTTAGTCAAGCATGGTTGTGGAGGGAATAATAGTGTTTTCTTACTTGATTTTTCTCAATTAACATTAGCATTTTCTTCTGTCACCATAAATTATTCTACATCATTGTAGTGCCAACATTTAGCATTCGTTTATAATAAAGACATGCCAAAATATATTCATACAATCTCACTGTTGATACTTAATTTGTTTTCGAATTTCACCTTTCCAAACAATCCTACAATGACCATCCTTTAAGATGTATTATGGTGCATACTATTGATCTTTAGGGTAAGTTGTAGTAAGTGGATGTTCTGAAATATATGAAATATGCATTTTTAAGGATTTTGATAAATAAAGCCCAACTGACCCTCATCATTGTACTAGCCTCTTAGATGGGAGCAAATGTTCCTTGCCTTCTTGTATTCATCCCCTTGTGTAGTCCCCTACCACATCAAACCAGGGTTGGTCTATGTGACCCAGAGAATTTGGCAGAAGTGGTGGAAATGTAACTGGATGAAGAGGGTCTGGCTGCGTGTCACTGTCAGCCAAATGTAGAGATGGGGAATAGGTCCAACAACCTTTATTGTCAGAAGGCCAGTGATTCTGGAGAACACGGAAAGAAGTCCCTCAAATCGGTGATCTCATTTACAATTCTGACAGTTTTTATAATGTAATACAAGGAAACAAACCCAGAAAAAATTAACTTTAAAAGAACTATCAAAGAAAATAACATATGGCTGGCCTTTGCTCTGACAACATAACAATCCTTAACATAAAAGTACCCTTTACTGTAACAACATACCAACAGTTGTTGTCTAAGGGTTACTATCACCTCCCAAGGTCTTTTGAGATAAACATCCTCTCAATCATGGAGAAACTGTAGGTAGACAAACATGGAAGGTGTGTGG